TCAAATAAATAAATAAAATCTTTAAAAAAAAAAAAAAAGGAATTACAACATAAAATTCCATCAAACACTTCTTTTTAAAGGTAGTGGGGTTTTGCAATCTACTAGATAAGTCCTTGTAAACTTTATTAATGTGAATATATCTGCTTTTTTAAAGATTAGTGAATTCCTAAAGAAAATAGGGAGAAATTGTATATTATAGTTAAATTCTTTAGTATCAGTCATTTAGAATTCTTTCACATTCTTTTATTGTATTCTTATTTACTGTTCCAGTAATCTATCATTCTCTTTAAGAAAGTATTCATCGTCCCCTTCAGACAGAATGTCTGATTTTTAAAAAAATAAGATTCACAAACACTTATTCAAATGAGCTTCAATTCCCCCCCTCCCCCCAGCATGATTACATTAAGAATATGGCACTTTCGGGTGTCTGGCTGGCTCAGTCAGTAGAGCATGGGACTCTTGATCTCGGGGTTGTGAGTTCAGGCCCTACATTGGGCACATTAAAAAAAAAAAAAAAGTGGCACTTTTTTTAATGATGATGACTTCGCTGCAGAGGTCTGAAATTTTCTCTTGAAATTACTTTCAGAATGAGTTTGAAGCACATATGAAAATGAGTATTATTACATAATTGACATACTTAATAGACAACAGCGTTTTGTCTAGAAACAATATGCAGTTTGTCATTCACTTTTTCTGTAGATTTGGACTCTAAATGACTTTTGGACCTTTTCATAAAAGTCAATTCAATTTTGGAATGTGAAGATCTGACTGAGAGCATCCAAAAGGATATGTCAAAAAGAGGGGGGAGAGTTAACATTTTGAACAATGTCAGTGTCATTGCTCTATGGCATTCCAAAATGACAGTTTAAAACATTAGGATATAAAAGTTTTAGAATGATTGCCTAATTATTTTATAGTCATACCATGTCTTTGATTTGTTAGATTCCCATGTTCTAGATCTTGTTATAAATAGGCACTTTAAAAGGATCAATTAGATCAATTAGAAGTCAACATTTTTCTGGTTGGTTTTTTGGGGGGATTTAATTTGTAAAATGTAGAATGGGATTATTGTTTTGTCATGCATCTGAATTTAGTAGATGACTAATAGATATTAATTATAATCTTTGTAATGAAAGAAGGTACCCATTTTGTCTAATTTGGTTTTGCCCCCATACAACAATAGAATATATATTCATGTTGCGTTTTTATTTGCATTTAGTAATTATTGAGTAAATGTATTTCTTTAATATTATCATTTCAAATGATTGAGGTGACTGTAAGAGTTTTTAATGCCCTTTTGCCAGCCAAATCATTGATCTTGCCTATATAGTTCCTTTCAAAAGTATGGAATCAGTGTTCCATTTGGATTGAACAGACAGGGTTTTGTCTTAATGATGGAGTAATTGGCATGAAGTCCTCTAAAGGGACCAATTTATATGGCATCATTGGCAGAGAACATGAATTTTGGATTAAACAGGCCTAAATTTTTTATCTCATTCTTGCTACTTACTAATCGTGTGACCTCAAGCAAATTATTTAACTTTTCAGCCTCAGTTTTCTCATCTGAAAAAATGGAGACTATATCTTCTTCCAAGTTTCTAAATATTTTTAAAGCACCATGCACAGTAGCATGTCATACATTTAGTAATAAATGTTCATTTCCTTTCCTGTTTTTACCTTTATGTATTGGTGATTAGAGATTAAGTTAATAAAGTTAAAAAAACTTTCTAAACAGTCACCCTAAACATGATGTTAAGGTTTACTTTAGGATTAGTTTGCCATTTATTTTAGTAAATACTGTATTCTCCCCATTGCCAGGAGAAGTGTTTGAGAAAGGAAGGAATGATTTGAACATTGTAAACAGTCAACTCAGTTAGTGTCTTAAGGATATATTTTTGATAACTTGTACTTAATGTCTATATTAAAGTGGTTTTCATTCATCTTCAATCACAGGTACAGGAACCTTAAAAATAGATTTTGTTGGAGAGCTAAATGACAAAATGAAAGGTTTCTACAGAAGTAAATATACTACCCCTTCTGGAGAGGTGCGCTATGCTGCTGTCACACAGTTTGAGGTATGGTGTTCTTCTCTAAAATGTTGTTATCTTAAAGTAGATATTCTGACAAAGTTCTGTTCCATTATTTGCATGATTATTTCAGGCTGGGTCCCTTCGGCCATAATTATGTTCATGATTTTGGAATCTTTATTTTATATTAAGCCAGTTATCTCCATTATAGAGGGAGAGAATTAGAGATGTGGGCTGGAAAATGGATACACACACACAACACACACACCAGCATTACTGTTTCATAGGAAAAGCCACAGGAATCAAATACTAAGAAGACAATTTTTAATTAAAAAAGGTACATAGTATAAAAGCAATTCAGGTATTGAAATTCTGTTACATATGTTTGTATAAATGTATGTGTATATGTAACAAAATAATATATGCATGTATGTGTATATACATATACATCTGTATACATGCATATATGTAACAAAATTTCAATACCTGAATTGCTTTTATACTATGTACCTTTCTTTTTGTTTTTTTAATTTTAAAGATTTTTATTTATTTGACAGAGACAGACACAGCGGGAGAGAGAACCCAAGCAAGTGCCTCACTATGTACCTTTCTTAATTAAAATTATACTCTTAGTATTTGACACCTGTGGCTTTTCCTACCAAATTAATAGTAATGTTGTTGTATAGCATTCCTTTTATTCTTTGACATGTCCTTGCTATATGTTTATCTTACTATATTATCTGCACTTTGATTTTTATTTATCAAGTATATGCAAGTTACATAGCTTGTTTTGAATTTGCTAGTGGTACTTTTAAGTATTAAATCTAATTAAATTTATTCCTGTACATTTCAGTATGGATAATGAAACAATTGATCCTATCTATTTTTATGTTTCTGCCTGTATCTCTGTATTGTTTGTTTTGCATACCTAAAGTTTTGGATTGGGGCGCCTGGGTGGCTCAGTCAATTTGACATCCGACTCTTGATTTCGGCTCAGGTCATAATCTCGGGGTCGTGGGATCGAGCCCTGCATCAGGCTCCATGCTGAGCATGGAGTCTGCTTGTTCCTCTCCCTCTGCTCCTCCCCTCGCTTTCTCTCTCTCTCTCTCTCAAACAAATGAATAAAATCTTTAAAAAAATTTGCCATAGCTATTTAGGCTTAATTCTGTGTTTCCATTATTTCAATGCTTATCTTTAGCCCTTTGAGCACTTCTGCATCCTGGAATGGTTGCCTGGAGTATGTCTCCAAATAAAAAAAAATTTTTTTTAAGATTTTATTTATTTATTTTGACAGAGAGAGACAGCGAGACAGGGAACACAAGCAGGGGGAGTGAGAGAGGGAGAAGCAGGCTTCCCACTGAGCAAGGAGCCCCATGTAGGGCTCGATCCCAGGAGCCTGGGATCACGACCTGAGCCAAAGGCAGCCGCTTAACGACTGAGCCACCCAGTCGCCCCCAAATAAAATTTTTTTAAGGGAGGGTATGTGGGTAGTATACTTCCAGGGTCTTTGCACAACTGAAAGGCTTTCATTTGCCTTAATACATGACCAGTTTTACTGGGTGTATAATAGATTTGTTGGGGAAAAAAGAAAAAGAGAAAGAAGAAGAGCAGCCCCTGACATTCAGAAGTTGCACCAGCACTCCCAGCTAGTCCATGCTGTTCTTTTTGACGTAAACAGCATCATAGAGCACCAACCTCAGACAAGGTTACTCTGAGACCATGATAAAGTGAAAAAAAACAAGGGTGCTTCATAATTTCATCTAAGGACAGACAAAAGCAATGTCACTGTGCTACCCATGAAATAAGGAACAACTCCCTCTCTTAGTTAAAATGAGCGACATCTTTATTAATTACGGTTTTAGTCTTGCTCTACGCTGCCCTCTCTACAGGTAAGATTTGTTGAGATGCGCACCCACAGAATCGCCTCCACTTTTTGACCCCACTCAATTGAGAGTGAATCTAAATCCTTACCCCAATTCACCCTGCCAAATCCGGAATATACATATAATAGCTTCTTTCTTACACACCCCAGGGTTCCCCTTACTATGAGTTTTCCCTTGCTACAATGAATAACAAACCCAACTTTTCAACTATAAGAGTGATATATACAGTTGGCTTACAATTTTTCTCTTTCAAAGGTATATAAATGTTGTTCCACAGTCTTTCATATCTCATTTTGTCAAGGGGAAGAATCAGACTGGAGTATCGTTTTTTTCCCTTGTAGAGTAACATATTGTTTTGTTTTGCTTTGTTTTCTTCTTGATTGCTTGTTAAATTATTTCTTTGTACTTAAAAATTAAAAATTTTTACCAGGTGTTCACTTTTCATAACTTTTACATAGTAATTGGTGAACCCTATTGATGTTCAGATTCAGATCTTCAGTGTAGCCAAGTTTTCTCCTATTACATACTACATTTTCACTGTGGTTTGTGCTCTGCTCTCTCATAATAAGTTTATGTCTAATCTCTATCCCTCAGATGAAGTTTTGATGGCTTTCATCACTCTGTCCTTTTGATATTTTAGAAACTTTTTTTAAGAAACTTTTAAACCTGGGGCGCCTGGGTGGCTCAGTCGTTAAACATCTGCCTTCGGCTCAGGTCATGATCCCAGGGTCCTGGGATCGAGCCCCACATCGGGCTCTCTGCTCAGCGGAAAGCCTGCTTCTCCCTCTCCCACTCCCCCTGCTTATGTTCCCTCTCTCGCTGTGTCTCTCTCTGTCAAATAAATAAATAAAATCTTTTAAAAAAAA